TCTCAAAAAAAAAAAAAAAAAAAAAAAGAGGCAAGGGAACCATGGTTCACTCTGAGCTTTCCTTTATGCTCTTCAACAACCCAGTTAGATGCCCCTGGAGGGGAGTACCCATGCCTCATCTACCTTTTCCCAAGAAATGTCTATGGTTGCTGCTGCTACGAGGGAAGACTGGGCTTTCCAATCTCTATTCCTTGTTCTTGAGGCTGGGCTACCGCAAAGATAATCACTTTGATCTTCACTAGCAACTCCTAACACAGGTCTATCATTAAAATAGCAGACAGATTATTTTACTCTTTTTTTTTTTTTTTTTTTTTTTGAGACAGTGTCTCTCTGTCGCCCAGGCTGGAGTGCAGTGGCCAGAGTGCAGTGGTCAGATCTTGGCTCCTGCAACTTCCGCCTCCCGGGTTCAAGCGATTCTCCTGCTTCAGCCACCCGAGTAGCTGGAATTACAGATGCACGCCACCAAGCCCAGCTAATTTTTGTATTTTTAGTAGAGACGGGGTTTCACCATGTTGGTTAGGCTGGTCTCAAACTCCTGACCTCGTGATCCGCCTGCCTTGGCCTCCCAAAGTGCTGGGATGACAGGCGTGAGCCACCGCGCCCGGCCTATTTTACTCTTGCATCTTTCCCTGCAGTTCTGTGTGCAGGGCTGTTTTGGCCCATCATTGTGCAGTGCACTTGAACAAATAGGAGAGGCTGTTGCTGGAGGCAGTATCTTTTGTAATAGCCAAAGTGGCAGCTGCAGGGAGGACTTGTGCTCATTGGAGTGGAATGTATTTCAGAGCATTAACAGAGACTCTCGTATTATGGAACCCCACACAGAGATTACAATGGATTTTCTTATAACAGTCAATGAAGCAAAGATACCACCTGCCCATACATGAGGCTCACAAGGGGATTTGGTCTGCCAAGAACAGTAGGTATTGGCATGAAATTGTGTGTTGGAGAAGCACTTAAGTCACAGCCTATCATGATTATTTGCTCTTGTTCTGCTGCACTGGCTGACCAGAATAAAACCTGCAAAAACTTAAGTGGTCTTCCCCATTTAGTTTATTGGAAGACCCTGTAGCTGATCCCATCTGGAGCCCCTGGAGATGCTAAGAAAAGCTTTTGGCTTCTGTGCAAAA